CGATCTCCGCAGAGGGTTGCGCGGGCACCCGGCAAATCGCACTCTCGTCTGCATTTCGCGCACTCGACACGCACGATCTCCGCAGAGGGTTGCACTTTCGGTTGACGCTGTTCGTCCCACCCTCCGCCTTTAAGAGAGAATTTATAAAGTGGGGAAATGTTTTTCATTAGGACATCTCCCGTGCTAGTTTTCCATGCTCATCATTAGGACATCTCTCGTGCTAGTTTTCCATACTCATCATCGCACTTGCATCACTATTACACTTGCATACTTTGACACTTGCATACTTAGCACTTGGATGCTTGCGCTCTTCCACTTACACTGGGGTACGTATAGCGTTCATTATGTTGTAGTGCAAGTGTGGTGGAAGTGTCAGTGTGTAAGTGTAAGTGTCGAAGTTCAGTGTGTAAGTGTAAGTGTCGAAGTGTCAGTGTTCAAAGGATTTTCCGGAAGAACCCTTCGCAATGCTTTCGGGAAAAAAAGCAGAAATAAATTCGCAACTTTTTGAAATGTCCATCTCTCGTCCTGCGCCAGCAGAAGGCTCAACAAAGGTGCGATGACCGCAGATTTGCCTTCACCCATTAGGAGCTGGCGCAGCAACGGTGTGCCCGACCTGGAGGTGTACCGACTGAAGCGTTCAAGGCTGAGCCAAGAGAGGTCAGCTCTGACGCAGTCGCCAACAACTAACCACATGCGCAACAGAGTGTGCATACACATGCACTGGGGTGTCCCTCGGAGTCTGTGAAAGGAATCTCGCGGCAGTCTAGGCAAATACCGAAAACACAATATACTGGAGCCAACAACAAACATCAACAAACAACATAGCATACAGCTGACTCAATGTGTGTCTTCATTATAGGATTCTCAGAAGTATCTTGGGTGTCTGGAGGACTGGAAGGACAGAATATAAATGCATCGGTAGGCCACCAAGTGTCCGCCGCTTCCTCGTCTTTTCCTGCTTCCTCGTCTTTCCCGCTGTCTTGTGCCGTGCCCCCACCTGGCTGCATCTGCAAAGCGGCGCACCAAGTCCAGCTGCCCAGCTCTTAGGTTTCCTAGACGCCGTCTCTGCCCGCAGCAACAAACACAACTCACAGGATTCTGGCCCAAGCACAACCCAATCGTCCTTTCACAAAGAGCCACTCGAAGAGCAAGAAATGCGGATCGATCGCAACTCCTGCCAGGAGCGGCACCATTTGACCCTCACAGAGACAAATCGGAGCGGCACCATGCCAATCTTGGAGCTCCAATGAACCAATGCCCAGCCACTCGGCCGCATATGGGCAACCAGAAACCACAACTGTGAAATCCCTCCACCCTAGTGGTGAATAGAAACATGGCCAATTCTTATTGCTGGGCCTCAACAAATTCCACTAAAGCAGCAACAAGCATGACACTTGAAAAGAAAATCAGAAAAATCACAGGACACATTTGGACCAAACTAATTTTGACCACCTTGCCGACTCGCCTGGCTCCACGAACTCTTCGCAACTGCTGAGCTCCGTGGCCAGGCGAGTGGCCACGGCAGCCATGCTCTGCGAGTGGCCACGGCGCTCGCCTAGACAGAGAACGGCAAGATGAAGGATGTGTATACATATATATATATAAGATATGTGTGTGAGAGAGACTCCAAATGATGTGAATTGAGAGGGGGGAGGAATCTCAAGCCCAACATCCATTGCCAAAGCAAGGAGCACTGAGGTAGCTTGGGCCAGATTGGGCCACCAGTTCTTGCCTATGCTGGAGGCCACGTGACAGCACTTGCTACACAAACACTTGGCTCACGGCACAGCCGAGACACTGTCAGTTGCTGGCAACTGCCTCACACAAAACATCACTCTCCCTCGACTCTCGACCAAATCCAGGGTTACACCTGTGGCGCCTCCTCATCCCTCCCCTTTTCGGTGGGAACCTGGCCTCTCTGAGAAGCAATGGATGGATCGTTTGGTCCCAAGCTCCTTATCATGCTTTCCTTTCATGGATTGGGCTGGGCCGTTTCAAACGCACATTGTGTGGCTCCCCACACAATTCAGCATTCGGTGCGCGAACGGCTGGGGACAAAAAGGCATCTGCAACTGCACACGCCAATCAATCTTTTCTTGCAAGAGCTAGCGATACCCCAGAACAATTCTACTGTATATATTATATGGCAATCTTCCCAACAGCTGCGTGACATAGCGGTACCTTCATTGCCCACCTGAGCTTGGCCGCCAGTGCGAAGGCGTGCGTCAGGGTGCGTCGCGCTGTGGCGGCCCTCGTGGCTAGAAGCAGAACAGAAAGAGCCGCTTTGACCAAACCTCAAGAACTGTGCTGGACTTTACGGCAGAACGAAGAACTGGTTTTCAAACCTGCACTGCTGCACGCATCCAAAAGGCGCTGAGGTTGGAGGACCTCCAAACAGCGTTCAGGGTCCAAGGCAGAAGGTAAGAAGGAGGCGAAAACGTGGCCAGCCTTAATGCAACACAATGACAAACAGTGTAGCCAACAGACGCGACATGACGACGTGTGGGCCAGAAAAGGTTCGAAAGTGTTCTCCATGCCCATCCATTTCTTAGTGGTTTCCTGACTCTTTCTTTGCATCCTTTTGCCATGCCACATCCTCTGCCAAAGTAGCAGCCAGGATCCACTCAAAGCTGAGCATTGGCGGGTGGAATCCTGCAATCGTTTTTGGCGATCGGCCTATCTGAGACGGAGAAAGGCCAATAATTGAGAAACACTGGCAAAACAAAAAAGACCAAAAACACCAAGAAACATCAATTAAAGTGCAATGCACATACCACGACACACATGACCAAAATGCAAAATAAGTTCAAACACCACTCCTGAAACAACTTCCAAATCCCAGATCTGCCGATTCTCCGATGCCATCATCGGCCGCTTGGACCAAGCCATCATAGCTTCCACTCCCTGTTGAGCTCGCCGGACATCTAACTCCACCTGTGCCTTACCGAAGGTTCGCTTTGTGCTTGGTCGAAGGACTTGCCACAGAACCTTGTTCAAAAGTCTTGGATTCCCCTGAGGTCTCTTCTGCTCTCAGTTCCTTTTAGTTCTGAGGTCTCTGGTGCGCGCTGGGTGAAAGGGGTTGTTAAAAAGCAAGCACGGGTGGGCGAGCTGAATGTGGGTGGATAATTAAGTTTTGCGCAAGCAATCTGGAGAACCGAAGGTTTCTTGATGTTTCTTGCCTGCAAAGCAGTAATCAAAGCATCCACATCTGTCAGCACCTCCTGCCACAAGCAAGATTGGGGAGCCAAACAAAACATGTAAGCTCGAGTTGCACGATGATCACATCTGCAAGCGAACTCAACCAGAATCCAACCAAACAGAGAGAGAGAGAGAGAAAGAGAGAAAGAAAGAAAAAAATCCGCCTGCACCGAATCCGCCCGCACCGAAGGTGCTCAGGGCGTGATCATCCGGATGGCGTAAACAACTGTAAGGTACTGGTTTACCTGGGGGGGGGGTATTTTTTGGCCAAAACCATGGGGTTTTTGATAGGTCGCGACGGCGGACTTCAAAAAACACTGTTGTTTACAGCACGGAATGGACTAGTTCGTGCACGCGCCCGCTCGGAGCCGGCAAGAGAAAAGTGAGAAAGCCCTATGTTTTTTGACTTTTGGTCTTTGATTTTCGGCTTTGAGACGCTTATTTTTTCCATGTGCGTTGTCGGGAGGCCGGGGCCCAGATTTTGTGATTTCGGAGCTGTTTGGGTGACGGCTTTCGCCGCTTTTGTTGGGCAGAAACATTGGTTTTTGCAATGTGTGTACCTTGCCGAGGCTTGACGTCTTTGCAAATAGCAGCGTTTTTGGCAACCATGTTGTTGAAAACATCGCAAATTGCAGTGTTTTTTTGACAGCAGGTTGAAAACACTGTAAATAGCGGTGTTTTGGGCCACGGCAAGCTCAAAAACATCGCTATTTGCAGTGGTTTCTGCCTCACAGAGCATAAAAACACTGTAAAATATGGTACATAGTGGCGTTTTCGGTAACATCAACCTCAAAAACCTCGCTATTTGCCGCTTTTGTTGGGCAACTGTTTCATGGCGGTGCGGGCGGACCTTGCCGCGGAGCAGCGTGAATAAAGAAATAAAGAAAAAAAGAAAGACAAAAATAGATAAAGAAAGAAAGAACCAAAGAAAGACTAAGAGCTAACCCCAATCGACCATGACAGAAACGTCCGTGCCTTGGGCAGAGTTTGCAGACGCACGCAGAGGCTCGTGAGACCGCCGTGGCAGGTCTTAAATTGAATCGATGGCTTCTCCTGCCGTCAGACAAGGTCAGCCAAAGGGTGAGGCCAACGACTCAACCTATGCGAGGTCAGGCAGTGAAGTGGTCTTGGCATATCTTGGCTCCTTGAAAGTCTTGTTTTGTGCCTCAAAGGCAGCTGCAGATGCCTGCCATCTGTTCAATGTTCGAGAGGTGATGCGAAGGGATTTGCTGTCCGTAGTTTCGGAGCACCTCAGGATGAACCAAAATGAACAGGGCGACACGTTACTTGGCAAATTCAGAAACCTTCTGTGCAGCTGGGATCGGGGCCGCGAAAGACCATTCCATTCTACGCCAAGATGTTGCCATGGTAATGGATCCAGCACTTCACTCACCAGCCTTAAAACGAAACGCCGGCTCTCGTTTAAAAAAAATACATAAAAAAGGAAAGGGCAATTCATGATGCTAACAAGAATTGCAAATCCAAACCAAGTCACATGTCCTGCAGTTTGGAACATGCAACAACCAATGCAGGCTGGTGCTCCTCATACCTGGCTTGGCTCCACATGGGTTCCCTTGCCATCTCCGCGAGGGCTCCCTACATTTGCATTGTGTTCAACTTTGCCCCTCGGGAGCTGTTTTGCACCCCAATTATTAATTATTGCCACACTGTTGATGTTTCAACTCCTTTCGAAACAAAAAAATAATGAGGATGCGGGGAATCTTACTCCTGTTGATGGAACGAGCCCTCTGCTTTAAACCCCTATGTCACACCATCAAGAACAGCAATTGCAATGGTTTCTCCCAGGGCCAGGATGTTACAGTGACCTCTTCCCATGCAGGAAATCTCTAGATTCTAGACTCTAGAGGTCAGTTCTGCTGCCATACCAAGAGGCCGTTCTCAAGTCAAGGCCTCCAGTGAAGCTGAAATCTAGGGCAGCTGGGAAAACAACTGGTGAATCGCCGCTGTTAGACTGGAATTTTGCCCCCGACATGACGTGATGGAACCCTACGCCCTACCATGCAAAAAAGATGTGGTCCTCCTTCAGGCGAATGATGGTTAGTTGCACCGTTGCTGCTGCTGCCGCTGCTGCCCCACTCAAGTGTCCTTGTCTAGGTTTAGGTCCACTGACCGTGACTGTTTTCTGAAGAGCACGGGCTCTCTAAAGATCCTATGTGGTTGCTCTTCTCATTCATCCTGCAGGGGCCTCCGTGTGGTCCTGTATGCAGCAACCTACCTGGAATTCTGTTCCCGCCATGATGCCCGAGCAACTCATCCTTCGTTAGCAGAGGCCACCCACCGCTCAAGGCAGACTCCTTTGCCAAGACATACCGGTGGCATCTGAAATCCTTGGCACCGTGCCGACCAAACACCAATTCTCCTAGGCGAAACGGATGATCGGTGCCAGTAATAATTAGGCGGTGTGTTTTATCAAGTAGCTTGGTAACATGGAGGCCATGATATATATATATATATACAAATATGCTACCGCTACCCCCAAAAAAGTCTACCATATTGACAGTTTGTGATGCTGTGCACATGATTGGCAGGCCCACCTGCTACAGCTTTTGACATTGCAATCATTGTGGAAGAAGAAAGGATAGATCTTTGCGCATTTGGTACTTTGGTGTTGGTCATCCCTCTAAAACCAAAATACATCAAAACTGCAGTGCCTTGAATCGTGAATCTTGAATCCTCTCTCGTTTGCAAACGTTTGCAAACGTTTGCACAAGCTATCTCTGGATTTTGTGCTAAGTAGAGTTTGGAGGCACATCTTACAATTCTTATAAGTTTACATCTTGGAGGTACGTGTGCATTTACAAGGTGTGTGTGCGTGTATATATATATATATAGATGGTACCCCCTTCTTCCCAACCAAGTGCAAAATATCTTAATATGATAGACTTTTGGGGGGAGGTACCATATGTATTTATTTATTATATATTTATTGTTTTCTCAATTTGCACTGAGGGCCATGACGACGTACATGATGCTATGACAATAGATAGATAGATAGATAGGATAGGATAGGATAGGATAGGATAGGATACGATAGGATAGGATAAGATAAGATAGATAGATAGATAGACAGGATAGGATAGGATAGGATAGGATAGGATAGGATAAGATAAGATAAGATAGATAGATAGATAGATATAGATAGATAGATAGATAAATATAGATAGATATAGATAGATAGATATAGATAGATAGATAGATAGATATAGATAGATATAGATAGATATAGATAGATATAGATAGATATAGATAGATAGATAGAGATAGAGATAGAGATAGAGATAGAGATAGAGATAGAGATAGAGATAGAGAGATAGAGATAGAGATAGATAGATAGATAGATAGATATAGATAGATAGATAGGCATGCGGCATGCTTGTGAAATGTAGACGTCGTCTTGACTCCTACCCGCAGTGTTTCTGGTCGTTGGCAGTATGCCTCAACCTCGGTATGATGTTTCACCTTTTCTAATGCCACTCATTCGATATCAAGATCTGCGGCGTTCAGGACCTACCTCAATCTTGAAACAGGCAATACGAAGCCGTGGTTGATGGTCATATTTTATACGTGACTGAAGCCCCTCCAAGGCGTTGCAAGGCGAAGTCTGGACTGGAGTGGAGCTATTTGCAAGAAAATGTGGGCATCTCATACTTGAGTGCAACAGGTCCACTGTTGTGTTTGCATGTACTTGCAAGGTGCTCCGAAGCTTGTGCAACACAGTGACATAACCACCGTAGCTTTTGCGCGCTGTTTTGGTTGCAGTATTGCAATGTAATAATAATAGTAATAATACATGTATGACAGTACCTCCACTACACTATTTACACCGGTGTACCGTAGTTGCTTTTAAAAATTTTGGGTTACACTGTTGGGGACTCTATGCGATGAAGCCTACGCACTGCTGTCTGACACATTCGCGAGCAAAAATGTCCCTATTCCTTCTAAAGGGATATACTCAATGTGAGTGGATCTTAATCAGCGAAGTTTGAAGCTATCACTGACGGTCCATAAGCGGCATAGCGTCGGAACGGAAACCGCACCTTTTCTAGTCGCTTGATCCTTGA